ATGCGCACATATATACATGTGTGCACACATATATACATGTGTGTACACATACACAGTTTTCCTCTCCTACTTGTGTGTATCTGTTCTTTCTACATGGAATACCCTCTATTTTTTCTGTGTATCAGTGTGCCTTCCTTGATGGTGGAACCTCCTTGATCCTTATGATTGTCATCCTCTGTACTCTTGGAACAGTTGGTCCTCATTGCTATATTGTTATTTGTCTGCTATTTACTTCTCTCCAGTTTTATAATTTCCTTGTTTAGTGTGTACTTAAGTACTGGGATGGCCTTTTCAATTTTAAATATTACAGCGTCTCAGATGATAACTGCATATACTGGGTACACAATAGCTATTAAATGAATACAGGTCTATTATGCATAGGGCATATGTTATTTATAATTTTGCCTAATTTAAAACATGTGTTTTCTTAAACTTGTTACAATACACAAATTAAAAGAAAATTGAAAGGAAAAAGGGGGATGATAGGAAATAAATTGGAGCAAAGGATGATTTAATTCACAAGTAGAAGATGTATATAGAATCAGAATGTAATGTAGACTATATTGAATATACTTAAAAACCTGTCTAATTTGGTATTTGTGCAAAAAAATTGCATTATAAAAATGTTAACCTTGGAAAGTTTCTTATTTTGAAGTCAGTGTCTCTGTGGACTGCTCATTAGTGCTGTAATCAGAAAGTGGTAAAATAATGGCCTCTCTTAGTCTCATTGCTATGAAAACAGGAGTCTGTAATGTGACTGACTATACATGGTGCTTCACAATTCCTGAAATTTATTCCTCTAATTTCACTTGTCTACTTGGTCAAAAAACACATAGCCATGTGATAGGAATGCAAGAATATTGATTTGAGATAATAAACTTCTCTTGGAATAAATACTTTTTAAATCAGTGTAACTGAAAAGGATCTGTGAATTATAACTTGCTCTGCAGGTGACCTATTTGCCAAGTTTAAGTAAATGAACACATTGAATTTATATTCTTAATCCCTGCTGTCAGGATTAAATTTCTACAAACCTAAGAGGAGGTTTTATGGTTCTTTTTAATAAATGACAAAAAATTTTTAATATGAGACTTCTTGAGTCTAATTCTCTGCATGATATTTTTTTAAAGGGAGGATTAAGCTTTGATATTTTGTTGCTTAATTTTTAAAATAATGAGGGTTCATTATTCTGGGTAATTATTTTTTTTAGTACAATGAAGTAGTTAATCACTCAGTGGAAACTTTTCAAAGGCAGTGGGTCAAGATGCCAACCTGTTTCTTTTGGTGTGCCAACCCTTAAGAGTTATGTGTTCCAGGGATTTGCTAATCACAACCTGGCAACTGATTTGCAGAGCGGGAAAGAAAGGACTCTTGAATGGTGGCCACTTGCAGCAACAAGTGTGTATTGAGTTTGAACATTTTCTATTGCTGTGCAGATCTTGCTGCCAGGGCAAAGAGCGCTAAATAACACATTGAGAGCTCTTTGGCATGTTGGCCATCAGCATCCTTCTTGATCTTCACTTGGTTTGGTAGCTGAGAACTGCTAAGTGGAAGGCACTGCTCCAGTTGAATGTCTGTCCTCCTGTTTATCTGTTCCTTTGTCTGTATCCGTCTAACACTGAATTTAAGCTGTTGGTGATTAGACTGGAATTAACCTCTGAATGTATAATCTATAATGGAGGTTGGTAAACTTTTTCTGTGAAGGGACTGAAAGTCAATATTTTAGGCTTGTAGGCCCTGCTGTTTCATGCAGTTACACAGCTCTGCTGTTGGAGAGCAAAATCAGCCCTATTCAGTATGTAAATGAATAGACCTGGCTGTATTTTAATAAAAAGTTGTTTATAAAAATTTGACTTACACATGGAGATTGCCTCTCCTGGTTTAAACAGTGGAAGTATCTGATTCAACACATTTGTATGCTGTACAAAAAAGTCTAAAAAAATATTTTTAATACTTCTAACTTTTCTAACACAACTGTCTCAGGTTTGTCAGCATAAGTATCTGTTTTGAAATTTAGTCACAAAAGTAGTTTTTATAGATTTGGCCATTTTATTTAAAATATTTTAAAAGTATTCATTTCTCGGGTCCTCCCTGGTGGTGCAGCGGGTTAAAGCACTGCACTGAGAATCTAAAGCCGCTTCCACATGAGTTCGATTCCCGCCTGCCCCGGAGGTGACCACATGGGTGGCACACCTCACCTGACCCGCCTGCTGCTCCCCACAGCAGTGTACTTCATAGATCTGCCTATTCTGCTCCCCGCTCTGTCTCTGGTGAAGCCTCTCGCCGTCCCTAAGCCTCTGGCCTGTACCCCAGTTCCATATGTACAAATAAATCTTTTTTTTTTTTTTAAAGATTTATTTATTTGTACATACAGAACTGGGGTATAGGCCAGAGGCTCAGGGGAGGCGAGAGGGTTCACCAGAGACAGAGTGGGGAACAGAACAGGCAGATCGACAAAGTACACTGCTGAGGGGAGCAGCGGGCAGGTCAGGAGAGGTCTGCCGCACCATGTGGTCACCTCCGGGGCAGGCGGGGATCGAACTCATGCGGAAGCGGCTTTAGCTTCTCAGTGCTGTGCTTTAACCCGCTGCGCCACCAGGGAGGGCCTCAAATAAATAAATCTTTAAAAAAAAAAAGTATTCATTTCTCTCTGGCACTATTTATAGTAATATCAATGGACTGGAGTATACAAAAATCAAAACATATTGTTACCTACCGCATTACTGCTAATAGTACCATAAAGTTTGATGGTTTATACATAAAAATTTAAGAAACTTTTTGACCTGAAAAGCATGACCAAGATATGCTTCTAAATGAGAAAAGGAGTTTGCATATGCTATTTAGAATGTTTCTACAATGTCATTCTATTTGTAAAAACTAAAAAGCAGATTTACATCTGTGTATGTTTATACACAGATAGACATCTTGTAAATATCTGAAAAGATACCGAATCTGCATTCTTAGTTTTCAAAGAGATGAGATCAACTCTGGTCAGTGTAAGCAGAAAAGATTTATTGACTACATAGCTGAGAAATCTCTGGGGTGTTTATGAACTAGGTTTAACTGTCATATTCCTTGAGCCCTGGCCACAATTCCGTGGTAGACCGCTGGCTGTCCATGGATATGGATTTGCAGTCTGAACCATGTGCCTCTGAGCTGGACCTGCCTCCTTTGTTCGTGTTCTGGAATAAATCCTGGCTACCTGCTACTCTTGTGTTAACAGCTTCTACTGTAGAGTCTGGTGTGGGTGCATTTGATTGTCAGATTTCACATTTGAACTCTAATTGCATGAAAAACCAAGAAAGTGAATATACTACTTCTGTGTGTTCAAAGGGCTTTTGCAAGTGGGTCCTTTTTCGTTGTTGGAAGAGGAGTCACAAACTTGGGATCTAGAAAGAATGAGAACTGTCCATTGCACATAACCCAGGAAGTTGTTAGCAATGATTAATTCTGGGGAATAAAGCTAGAAAGGCTGACTAGGGAGCATAAGTACAGACTTTTTTTTTTTTTTAAGGATTTATTTATTTGTGCATACAGAACTGGGGTGCAGGCCAGAGGTGCAGGGGCGGCGAGAAGCTTCACCAGAGACAGAGTGGGGAACACAACAGGCAGATTGACGAAGTACACTGCTGAGGGGAGCAGCGGGTGGGCCAGGAGAGGTCTGCTACACCATGTGGTCACCTCTGGGGCAGGCGGGAATCGAACTCATGCAGAAGTGGTTTTAGATTCTCATTGCTGTGCTTTAACCCACTGCGCCACCAGACTAATTCTTAATTTTATTCGTGAATTTATATAATAAACAGGTCCTAGGTAAGATGAACAGAAGGTAACAACAGTTTTTCTCTACCACTCCATTGTTACCCACTCTCACCTAAAGATTCTGATACTTCTAAGAGCACTTCTTTAAATTAATACCTAATTTCTTAATACTTAGTTGACCTTGTGGTGATTTTCTCTTTGATTCAGTCACCCGTTTATTTATTGCATGTACTTGGTTGGGCAGAGAAGTCATAAATATTTTTCTTTGGAATACCAGTGGCTTGTTCTTGCTTTTGTACTGGTGGATCTGCTTAGAGGTCTACAGAATTCAGGTTTGAAAATTAAGATGGTGGTGGTTTTACTTAAATCTGGAATATGAAGAAACACAACAGTGGGCCAGATGAAACCGAACTGTTTAACAAATCTTAGAGATCTGACCATAGAACTCACAGTACCAGAGAGGGAGAGGGAGAGTTGAGAAAAAAGTGAAGCAGAAGCACAGTTGACTAAGGTGCCTTGGTGATGGATGTGGTGTGATAACATCTGAAAAGTTGTGATACTATATGTCAAAATCATGTACAGTGTTGTAAGTCAGTATTTTCTCAACTAAAGAAATTAAAAAAGGATTAAGGTACCATGCTATGGTTGATGAAGTATTCAAATACAGATTTTAAAAATAAAATATACGTCAGTATTTCAGCATACCTTTTTAAAAAACATTTCTCAAGTCTCTTGTATTTCCTCTTTTTTAGACTTTTTTTTGAGAACTTAACTCAGTCCAATAAAATTTTAGCAGATGCATTATATTTTTAAGTCTTAACTTTTTTTTTTTTTTTTTACAAAACCTTTAGATTTATAGGTAAAACTTGAAGATAGTATCTTGCCCCTGTTTTCTCTGTTAGTAACATTTTACATTAGTCTGGTATATTTACTATATTGAATGACTTGTATTGACAGATTATCACTGACTAAAGCCCATCTTTATTAAGTTTTCTTGTTTCTTACCAAAGATGTTTTTCTATGCCAGGATAACTGGTTGATCTAATATGTTTATATCATACTTTTTCACCTGTCTAACAGTTCATGGAGCCCTATAACAAAAGTTATTTTTGTTATAACTAACTTACAGAATTTGGGGGTAGAATAAGTAAAAATTCTACTACAATGAGTTCTTATTTCCTGTACAAATATCATGTTAGAAAACAATGAACACTTCCTTTTTTTCTTTGTCATCTTTTCAGTGGAACAAGTTCCTGTAGAACCATACAAGATCCCGCTGTCCCAGGCTGAAATCATACAGGAAGGGAGTGATGTTACTCTGGTTGCTTGGGGCACTCAGGTTAGTCAAACATACCAACTGGTGATGACCATGTTGTGCTTTGAAACTCTCCTTTTCAACTCTGATATTATGAAGAATTGGAAATCATGTTTTGCTTATAGATCAGATTTATACCACATTTGGTGCTGCACATTTAGTACCAATTATAGATAGGGTGCCTCTTTATTCATGCTTACATATGAGTGTGTCTGTGTGTGTGTATATGCATGCACAGTACATTGAGAGTTTACAAAAATGTATTCATTAAAAGCAGTTACCTTTCAGTCCCTCTCTGGTGGCGCAGCTGGTTAAAGCACAGCACTATGAAGCTATTGCAGCCACTGCAGCACGAGTTTGATCCCTGACCAGGGAGGTGACGCACATGGCATAGCAAATCTCTCCTGACTTGCCTGCTGCTCCCCTTAGCAGTGTACTTCGTCGATCTGTCTGTTCTGCTCCCCACTCTGTCTCTGGTGAAGCTCTCACCGCCCCTGCACCTCTGGCCCGTACCTCAGTTCTGTATGCATAAATAAATAAATCTTAAAAAAAAAAAAGCAGCAGCTATCTTTCAAGTGCACACTAGACATCCTCACTGCTTATTGCTACACTTCCCTTGCAGTAACCTTCCATTTCATCCCATTTGTTACCATCTCTGGTGATGGCTTTGTCGACTATGTGGTGCCAGCCAGTGATCCAGACCCAGGGATCCCATTTCTTTACTTTTTTTCAATCAACCTCACCCTTGGCACTTGTCAAATTGCTTTATCTTGTTTAAGCTCAGGATTCTTTTTTTCATTTCCCTGACTATAGATTCCTCTTATCTATCAGTCTCTCCTTCTTTTAAAGATATGGTCAGCTTTTCTTTTTTCTGAGTAAATTATTTACTTGATTACTTTACAAAAGTTAATACAGCATAATATAAAGAAGATAATGAAAATCATTGGCAATACCGAACCTTTTTACTCTTGGTTTTTGGCTTGGAGAGATGTAACTCCTCATGGTTCCTCAACTCCCATAGTAAAATCTTTAATCCATGCTGTCCCCTTCCTCACTTTAAAAGGAAAAGTTAGAAAGTGTTTGATGCTCACTGTCAGTGTGTAGTTTCCCTTCACACTCACAACTTCTGCTGCTACTCCATTTCTCATTACCTTTTGGCCTCAAAGAACAGAGGTCCAGTTTCCATAGCTACCCCATCAAATCTGTTTTAGTCTGTATTTCATTTTATCTTCTCCCAAACTGTACACTATCACTTGGATCATCTCTCTCTCTACTGCACCTGAAGTTTCTCCTTTCTGTGTCCCTTTTATTAAAAATGTATGTGTCTTTTTACTATCTGAAGAGTACCTTTTCCCTGCCCTACCTTTTCCTTAAATACCTGTACTTTCCTTCTTTTATCACCAAACTAGAATGATTTTCCATATGTCCTTAATTCCTTATATTCCTTATTTTTTTTAAATTTTATAACAGTTTATTTTACATTTTTTTTTCCATCTCAATTGTAGTCCCCGCGGGTTTCCCATCACCGAGTCACCCGTGTGCCATTACCATAATCCCGTGCACTTCCCTCCCCGCCCCCCCGGTTTTGATCCCATTCCCCACTCCACCGACACAAAATGTCTCTGGTATATGGCTGTTCATTATTCTTGTTATTTTCTCACCTGGTCTATTATACTCCTGCTATGAGTGAAACCATCCAGTATTTTTCTTTCTCTTTCTGGCTTATCTCGCTAAGCATGATCTTTTCCAGCTCCATCCAAGTTGCTGCAAAAGACATGTGTTTCTCTTTTTTGGCTGCTGAGTAATATTCCATTGTATATATGTACCACATCTTTTTTATCCAGTCATCTACTTTTGGGCATTTGGGCTGCTTCCATGTTTTTCCAATTGTAAATAATGCAGCAATAAACATGGGGGTGCAGATATCTTTTTCAATCATTGTTTTTGTGTCTTTTAGGTAGATACCTAGGAGTGGGATTGCTAAGTCGTAGGGAAGCTCCACATTTATCCTTATTTTTTTATATCCTATGTATTCTGTTCCCACTAATTTACTAAAACTTTATGCTAACATCCATAATCCTTTAATTGTTAAATCCAACCCTGATTCCATAATGCTATAGTAAATGATACGGCTACTCTAACAGATCTTTTTTCTTAGGTTCTGTGATACACTGTCTCCCAGTATGTATCTGGGTGGTTTTTTTTTTTTTTTTGTAACTGTTCTTTTTTTGGTTATTGTTTAGTGATCTCTTCACCTGTTTACCTCTTTAAATGTTGCTTATCTACCAAACTATGATTGAAATCACTTCTCTTCCTCCTATATACTTTCCCAAGAGATCCCACCCACTTCTATGAGTTTATTTACTTTCTTTGTGCTAATATGTTTGATATTAGTATCTCTAAGAAATCATTGCTCTCACCAGTGCTAAGAATAGCTTTCTTACGGTTCTCTAAACAGCTGTATTTGATAAAATGTTTAAAAAATTCATTATTTCATGAACAGCCATATACCAGAGACATTTTGTGTGGATGGAGTGGGGAATGGGATCAAAAACGGGGGAGTGGAGAGGGAAGTGCATGGGATTATGGTGATGGCACATGGGTGACTTGGTGATGGGAAACCCGCGGGGATTACAATTGAGATGGAAAAAAAAAATGTACAAAATGATGTAAAAATAAACTGTTATAAAAAAATTCATTATTTCTCCAGATAAATCATCTAACTTTAAATATAATATAATTAAATCTATTAATTATGTCAAAATACAAGTAATACTTTAAGTCTACATCTCTACCTATTTTTTCCCTTTGTTTCAGGTTCATGTGATCCGAGAGGTGGCTTCCATGGCTCAAGAAAAGCTTGGAGTGTCTTGTGAAGTCATTGATCTAAGGACTATATTACCTTGGGATGTAGATACAGTTTGCAAGGTATGAATAGAATGTTACATTTTCAAAATCTTGGGACAAATTTATTGGGCATTTACAAACAAGTGTTTTTTTAACTATGTGATCCTTAATCAAAAATTTAATATTATGCTTTAAAAGAAAGGTGTGCTGTATGATCAGCTTAATGATCAAGGAAATAAATCACTGTAGGGTTTTTTCTTCCTATAGTTCTTATGTGTTTTAAATTTTACAGAGTTATGTCCCTCATGCAGCCAGCTTGGATGGAGTTGTGTTGAGTAATGAAGAGTACAAATAAAGAGGTTATCAGGGTTGTTGACGTTCTTGCACTTTTAACTTCTGATTACTTAGGTTTGATAAGCCAACTTTAATATAATTAGCTAATTGGTTTGGTGGATTTTCATTTGTCTCCTTTTTTTTTTTTTTTTAAAGATTTATTTATTTGTGTATACAGAACTGGGGTACAGGCCAGAGGCTCAGGGGCGGTGAGAGGCTTCACCAGAGACAGAGTGGGGAGCAGAACAGCCAGATCTACAAAGTACACTGCTGAGGGGAGCAGCGGGCGGGTCAGGAGAGGTCTGCCGCGCCATGTGGTCACCTCCGGGGCAGGCGGGGATCGAACTCATGTGGAAGTTGCTTTAGCTTCTCAGTGCTGTGCTTTAACTCGCTGCGCCACCAGGGAGGGCCATTGTCTCCTTTTTTTAAAAAGCCTTGATGGCACTGGAGTATAAGTCAGAGGTGTGGACAGGTGTTAAGGGGATTCATCAGAGATACAGTGGGGAGCAGAATAGGCAGATCTGAAATACACTGCTAAGGGAAGCAGTGGTGGATGAGACAGGAGAGGTCTGCTGTGCCATATGTGGGTCACCCCCCTGGTCGGGGTGATAGTGCTAAGACTTAACAACCCCTAGGCCAAGAGGGAAGCCCTATTTATATTTTTTTCAATAGAGGTGATGATGGGTTATTAGAAAGTATAAATCCCCCTTATATGTTCTTAAAATTGTGGATGGAAGTTCAAGTGTTGTAGAATTTTGGCTGTTCTGTTAGTTTTTGAAACAGGCTTTAAAACTTTGGCCTGACTAGATTGATACTATATTAATGTCTAGATAAAATGAAAGTATGTCTTTTTCTACATTAAAATATAAGGATAGTAACTCCCCCTCCCCCCCTTTTTTTTTTGGTGATGCCTTCTAGAATTAAGGTAATTTTGCATGGATTAGTTTTTTCTTGACTGTTGTTATAGCAGATGAGTTCCAAGACCAAGTGTATTTTACATTTACTACTACTAAGAGCTTTGGCATTCTTACAGATTTTGCGGCTGTTTTCTAGATTGGTTACATGAAAATTATCTGCAACTACTATTGCTGTAAAAGTGTGAATAAAGTGTTTGTAGATCAAGATGGTTTTATAACTTAGTGGAAGATTTGATTTGTTATGGTAAATGTTCTGAGGCTCACTTGACTTAATCTAAACACTTGATGCAATTACAGGTGGTCTCTACAATATTCTAAGCTATTATGTTTGTAGATTATGTAATTAAGAGCAGTCTTTCAGAAGAACTTTTTATAACTTCATGAAAATAATTCTTTTTAACAAGTAATTTCAAATCAAGTCAGACACTGAGTTTTCTTTTAAATAGTCAAACGTTCCAAATTATGGTTAAAGTGGAACTTCACAGCCTTTGCTTCACAGCAGCCTTCTGGTTTGCAGCCTGTACCCCACTCATCTTGGGGTTTGGATTTATATGTGAATGTTGATTCTGTGGGGATGTGAAGCTTTGCTATGGTGCTGGAGGGAGTACTGGTATTCAGTCAGGATTAGCTTATTTACATATTTATATGCTGTGTAGCCAAAAAGAATTTGTAAGAGCTTATGGTAAAATACATAACTATATGTGTTTCTATGTTTACATAATAATTCAAATACCATTCCAAGTCAGTAACCATGATAACAAATTGAGGAGAGCTAAAGGAAGAAAGGAGGGGGATTGTTTATATCAATTTGCATGAGTAGAGCCCCCCTTTATTAAACTGTCTGATTGTAGCTTTATGTGATTCTGGAATGTGGAGCCTGTTTTCTTAGGGTTCTATACTATTGGGAAAGATGATCAAGGAGTCTAGAGTTTACTATTAAACAGGAATGTGATGCATCAAACTTCTGACTTGATAGCATCATTATTTTAGTTTCGTGTTGGGGTGATTTCATCATGTTCTTTTTCTGGTTAATGATCCTCTAGTTGTGGCAGTGAAAGCTGGATTGTCATTTTTTGATTATTTGGGTTCTGTTTGTTACTCTTCATTGTACATCATGGTACATCTCCTGTTTTCGTTTCATGTATCAAAAAAATAGTTTTCAATTTTTAACTTATTTTATAGAATTTAGAGATGATTTTAAAGAGGAGCCAGAGCCAAGTACTTGTTTCAAATGAGGGTGTTTTTGTTTGTTTGTTTGATTAACTACAGTTAAGCTTTTTCCTCATCTCTTTGAATCCTATTTAATAAAATTTATTATCTTTCTCAGTTAATAAATGCTGTTTTATCACTTTTGTCTTAGAACAAAATTAGATACATTAGCTTTATTCATTAAATGTTAAGTGTAACACCAATATGTATCTCTCAGAATAGCTAATCAAAACCTATTAAAGTGAAAATGATTTCCAAACACATACATTGGCATACTTTGCTTAGTAAAATGACTAAAAGAGTTGAGGAGTTGTTTAATGAGATCTGAATTTAAATATGTTTTCAAAACAATCATGTTTTTTGCTTTTGCTTAAAGCTTGACTTCGAAGTTATAAACACAATGCTTGAGGACAGAGAAGGTAGCAGAAATTTTGAATATTGCTCAGGGGAGTTACAAAATTGGAGATCTGGGTCAGCCTAAAAATCATAGCCAGTTTTATCACTAAATTCTGAACCTGATATTAAAGAGCTAGCTGCAAGCCTGTGTAAAACAATAAACATTCTTGAGTTTTGAGTTGCTTTGTAAACAAACCTTCCTGGGACCTATACTTCTGGCTGGAAGTAGAGTGGCTTATGAGCTCCAGGGATGAGAACTAAATCTCTGATAGAGTGGATAGACATTGATGATTTGCCACTGCTTTTTTTGCTTAGGTGTGTGTGTGGGGGGG